TACATGGCATTCGTAGCAGCCTAAAGCGATAGGGAATAAGGCTTAAAGGAAGTGAAGTTTTAAAGAACATAAGAGGAAGTGACCACTAGACTTACAGAAAAGGACTGCTAACTTCACTTTGGGTTTAGTCTGGGTTGCAGACAATAAGACATGTGCAGGGGCGCCAGTGCACACAACTGTGTGACCACTTTGTAGCGTTTAGGAGCAAAAAGAGGCTGGACAGAGAAGGGAGGAGTAAATGGTGGGGAAGCAGGACAGGGCAGGTCCTAGGGAGAGGCTGAAGGAATGGGGTCCCTGTGAGGCTGGAGAGCAGGTGTAACAAAATCAGAGTCATGGGGAAGGCTGGAAGCTGTGGGTATAGGCTGCACATGGATGCACCTCAGAAGTGGGGCAGTTCCAGGCACTCTCCCTAGGGAACGTGGGAGAGCAAGACATAGGGTTGGAACGACAGCTCCAGAGGGGCAGCAGAGGGCCATAGCAGAGAGTTTTGCTTGAGAAAAGCTGGGGGCATGCAGATACTAGACCAGGTTCTGGAGGGTGTATGTGGAGGGAGAACGAGGAGCATTCTCTGCAGAGGACCATGGAGGGCATCCTGTCACACAGGGAGACACTGAGGATGAGTCATAACTCAAACAGCTGCACGGAAAAGTCAGGTAAAGCAAGGCATTAGGCAGACCACACAAAACAGGTCTTCAGCCAGGGTTCCCACAGTGGACTTTCAGGTTTGTTTGCGTAAAATATTTTTTGTGGTAAAATATATATAATATAAAATGTACTATTTTAACCATTTTTAAGTGTACAGTTTAGTGACATTAATTATATTTACATTGTTGTGCAACTATCACGATTGTCCATCTCCAGAACTTTTTCATCATCCCATGCTAAAACTCTGTCCCCATTAAACACTAACTCCCCATTCCCTCGCCCCCTTAGCCCCAGCAACCTCTGCTGCACTTTCTGTCTCTGCGAATTTGACTACTTGATGTACCTCATATACGTGGGATCATGCAGTATTTGTCCTTTTGTGTCTGGCTTATTTCACTTAGCACAATGTTTTCAAAGTTCATCTATGTTGTAGCATGTGTCAGAATTTCTCCTTTTCAAGGCTGAATAATATTCCATTGTATGTCTATACCACATTTTGTGTATTCACTCCATGTATTCATTCCATGGACATTTGGGTGGTTTCCACCTTTTGGGAGCTGCCATGTTTTTTATCACCTGTGGTGGAGGCTTAATTATCCCAGAAAGAGTTGGGAGAGAAGTTAGCAGGCAAAGGGAGAAACTCAGAGCAAAATAGAAATGTAATCCACCCTCTTCTTTTACAAGTGTGAAAATGGAAGTCTGTAGAAGGTCTGAATGGCTCAGTTCACAAAGAACTCAAGTCTACTAACCTTTGGAGGGTTTTTCCTTCTAGTACCATGTTCCTCACCAGGCTAGTCTGAATTCAACTGAATTCCACAACACACAAGGAATATGGGTAGGGCCAGACGAAGAGCTCCTGGAAGCCTGAGAGCAGAGGCTGGAATCCCACGGCATGATGCCACACGGACACCGAAAGGGAGCTGGAGAGACTGTTTCCAGGCAAAACTGTGTAAGCGTTTGTGGGTCCTTCCTCACGGAGTCATTGATCCTTTCTCCCTTTCTCCCTTTGCTGTTCACATTCTCTTCTCTTACGTATCCATCTTGCTCCCTTTCTTCATCTCAGCAGGATAAGAACAGTCTCTGCTGAGCAGGTAAAAAGATTATTCAGGTCTTAGCTTAAAGTACCACATTACACCCCCTCCAGGGAGATTTATATATTAAGGGGCAACTTTAGAAAATTGAAAACTTTAGGACCTCAGAGAATGAGACTCTAATGGTAGAATGGCAGAGGGTGGGGTGATGTTCAGGCAGGAGTCACCTCCTCTGCTTGCTGGTGGGGTTTGTTAGAAGGCTGCAAACAGAGGCAGCTGGGGAATTGCCTCCCTGCCCCCTGTCCCCCATCCCCCAAGCTCTCCTCCTCTTGCAGACTGAAGGCTTGCTCACAAACGTATTAGGGCTTTGTGTTTTTTTCTTTCTCAGAACTCGATTTTAGCTTCCTTGAGAGAAAATGCATCTTGTATTTATTTTACCATCCATACAGCGTGCACCAAAGCTTTCTGCACGTAATACAGTTCTCAGTCAAACCTGGGAGGGTGAAAAGCTGCTGGCCAAATACTTCAAACTTGGGTGAAGGAGTCAAGGATGATAGAAGTGCTTTTGTTGCTACTTTGCTACTTTATCCTTCAGATTTATCCTTGGTCAATAATAACAAACAAATATTGTCATTGAAGAATATCTTCAACTCTCAACCTTCTACAGTGAGCACTGAACAAGATATCCTTCATGAAATATTTGCCTTATTTTTCTATATCCACTTTTATTAGTTTTATACGCACACAAATGTCACCTTGCTCTTGTATAACACGTAGAGCATAACAAAATCTAGACTATCCCAGAATCCTCTGTAAACTTACTACAATGATTATTTTTTATAGAGAGTGCATTTACTGTCTCTAACATCAGCTATTACCTATGAACAAAAGCAAGTCCATATGAATCCCCCTTAGGGAATCAGAATATGAAAACGTAATAACTATGAAGAAGGAAATAACTTCTTAGATTTTTTTTCATACTGCTTATATTTTATATGCATATTATTTATATATATAGATATTATTTTTATGATTTCCATGAAAACCAAATGTCTCCAAGTCCAAAGCAGAATGTGTGGAAGAGTACTGATAGCTATTCTTTGTCCAACACTTTAAGGTTGGCAGTATATACATTATCCTCATTTGATGCTCACTTCAGCACTGCGAGGTGGTTAAGATGGCAAATAGTGGACCAATTCATAAATGTGGAAACGTAGTCTCAGATATAACTTGGAGAAGGTATAAACCTAGCTGATTTAGACATGAGTCTTTTAATTCTAAATCTCACCCTCTTTCCACTCTACAATGTGCTCGTCATCACTATCTGCATATCTCTACTAGACTGGCAGTTTATTTTCAATGCCCAATTAACCCGAAATCTCCGCTAAAACCAACAAATGTAGCAAACGGCAATCTTAGATCTCATCTTAAATGTGTGTTTCTTTCAAGTGGCCACCTAAACGGGTTTAATTAAGGCTGAAATGTATTTCATTGTAGACATACTCTTAAAATCAACTATTTAAAAAAATGTTTACTAAAACTTTTTGAAAAATCCTTTACCACTCCATAAACTTTGGAAATAAGATTTTGAAAAAGCTTTAAAAACTGAAATACAGTTAGCTAAAATGTAAGTAAAGTGTACAATAGGACTTTATCCTAATCACAGTTCCTAAAATATTTTCTAAACTCGAAATTATCCAAGCCTACATACACAAGAGGAACCATTTCTCCAGCATTTATTTTTCCCTTATCATTTGTTTATAATAATCATTTGGCAGGTCCTGTAAACAGATGTGATACACACTGGGAGAATACTTCTCTGTAGAAACAGTAAGTAATTATAATGCATATATTTTGCTTTAAATACTTTAAACACATTACTTGCTTTTACTTTTATATAATCTCATCTAGCTTTTGCTTATTTTGCTAGATAAACAAACTTTCCCTCCCTTCTTTTCAAAAATTTTTATTTCTTACTAAATTCTACTCCCTTCCACCAAAGTGTAACAAAGTCAACACACTGGTTGTACAGTAATGAGAAAACCAACAAGGATCTCCTTCAGAGTGAGGCTGAAGGGAAACAATTTGTAGTAGTTAAGATTTATTCCCCTATCCTCCCCTCTAAATATTACATCTCTCAACAAAGAATTCTTGTTTAACTTTATTGGAAAGAGTGGTGTTTAGAAATACTACAGATCTAAATGTACATATGTTAGGACTGCTAGCCGTGAGTGACCACAAGGAAAATGAGAATTTCAATTTGTTACACTGACATCTCATGTAAACAAAGAATAACATTAAGAAAAACAAAAGAAAAATATCAAGAGTATCAGGATTTTTTCAAAGTCCGTATCAGAGCAATTTCTTAACATATTGATAATTGCCACCCTAAAAATTAATAATAATAAACAAGGAATCGGAACTCTTGGCTTAATACTCTTTCCTTCCACTCTTTCCCTCAGTCGTTATTGGGGCATTAGTTTCAGCTCAGTTTTAAAGTTTGAGAGTCTGAGCTTAAAATGCACATTTCTGCCCATTTGCATTGAACAGCCAGCCACTGTTCCAGAATTTCGCTTCACAAACCACACACACTATTTCTGCTAAAAAGAGATTTATAGTTAATTGTGACAAAAACACCAGATTGGTTTAAGTAAAATTTATTTTATAAATATATATTTAAAATACATTATTCTTATAGAGAAACGTAACTAAGAGAGGAGGAATACAAAACTGAAAAGTACAGCAATACATAAAATGACTCTCAGTAGACATCTAAGGCTGCTTGTTATTTTTGGCTTCCTGCACCCAGGAATGTGTATTCTAAAAGGGGGTTATTGGGCTCCAACCAACATCGTCAGGACCATCGTGGGAACTGGGAACAAGGGTGAGCAGGATGCAGTCCCTGCTTCCTCCGAAGGCGTGGGATGTAACACCCAGGCAGGATGACAGGCGACCGCGGTGCAAGGCAAGGGTGCATTGTAGAGGAAGGAATGCAATGGGCGCCCCTCATCCCCACTTTGGAGAGAGAGGCGAGGGAAAGGAAGGAAGTCACCTCTCAGGAAAGGAGACAGGGCAGTGTTGCAGAAGTTAGAGGATTCGGCACGTTTAGAGAAGTGAAAGCAATCAGGTAGACTGGAACTCAGGGAGGAGTGGCCCGTGGTACAAGACCCAGCTGGAGACGTAAACGGAAACAGGATTAGCAGGGCTTTATAAAGCAAAATTAAAGAGAGAGGATTTTATCTTGAGGGCAACAGAGATCCCCTAAAAGATTTTAAACGGGAGTAACATGATCGGATTTACTTTAAAATAATCTATCTGGTTGCAATGTCGAGATGGGGGAGGGGCAAAACCCAAGGCCGAGAGACCAGTGAGCAGGTAACTGCGTTAATCCAGGTGGAAGACGCTGGTGGCCTGCACTCGGGTAGTCAGAGAGTGGCAGGAGCGACAACAGACAAGAACTGTGGAAGTAAAATTGATCCTGGGCTTAATGACTGGAGGATGGGGTGGGAGGCTGATGGCTAAGTGTAGTGATGCAGTTACTGAGAGGGGAAACCCGGGAAGTTTGGAGGGAAGGTGCAGAGTTCCGTTTAAGACACACAAATTATGAGATTTCTGTGGCATTCAAGTTAAATATGCCTGGACCTCAGGGCAGGGTGGTCTGGAAAGCAGGATGACGCTCTGCGAGTGGTCGAGACCATCCAGAGCGTGCACAGAGGAGAAGGCGGCCCAGGACAGTTCCCCAGGGAACCCTACCCATATGGCGAGACAATGCTTATATTCCACTTTTCTTCAAATATCCATTGAATCACAAAACATGCTGCGAGGTAGGTAGGGGAATTCATTGATCTAATTTTGCAGGTGGGGAAAATGAGACTTTGGGGGTTGTTCATGATCACCCGGCAGTGAATCTTGAACTCGTCTCCCAGCCAATACACCCCCTACTCCCTACAAATTAACTCAATATACCCGATAGCTGAAACATATATTTGGTAGAGCACAGAAATGGATTTCGCTTTTTAAATGCCTTTTGTTCCTCTTTCTCCAAGCCTCACGAAAAATTTTAAGTGATCAACTTTCAATTTTAATACATATCACCAGACATTAAAAATATGTAACCACTCTCCTTTAAAGAAAAAAAAAAAACCACTTGGACAGACGAAAATCTTAGAATAAATCTCTACCAGTAAGCATAGAACTTCTTTAAGTTCTCTGTGCTGCATAAATTAACCTTGACAGATTCTGGCTTTACGCTCATTAACTCGGCCTGTCCATCCCTGGTTTTCCTATCTCCAGGACTCGCCTGCTCGCCCCTGCCGGCCCTCCCCCCCCCCCCCCCCCCCCCCCCCCCTCCAGCCGCACCACCTGCTCCCGGCGCCTCCCCCCTCCTCCCGCCTGCCCGCCCGCGCCGGTTCTCACGCGCGGCCCGCGCCCCTCCCCGCCGCTCCCGCCCCTTTCACTTCCGCGGAGCTTCAGAGTCGGGGCCGGTCCGCCCCGCGCCCAGCTGCCCAGCCCCTCGGGCACCCCAGCTTTTCCCCGCCCGCCTCACCCCGCCGCGCCCCCAACGAAGTTCTCCCTCCCGCACCGCCCCCCGCGAGGACTTTAGGGGCGGTCCCAGGCCGGCTAGCGCTGATTGGCTGCCTCCTCGGCGCCCCGCCCCTGTGCACGCGCAGGAGGCGGGGCGGGCCCGAGGCAGGCGCGCGCGGCGCGGGCCCGCGGGCGGAGCGTCCGTGACCCGCGTGCCAGCCTCGGCGTCCCGGCCCGGGCGTCCGCGAGGTGGGGGCAGGCGGCGGCTGGGCGCCCCCAGGCTGAGGGGTCGCGTGCCGCCGAGGACCCCCTCTTGCCACGGCCTCGGCGGCGCTCCCCAGCCGCGGCCAGCTGGGCGTCCCGCGAGGACTGGGAGCTGCCCGAGGGCCGTCGTCGTCGCCAGCCCGGTAGCCCGGATGTCGCTGCCCCCCGCGGCGGGGCCGCCGACGCGCTTCTCGGCCCCGGGAGGAGGCTTGTCTTAAAGGGACAGCGCCCCGTTCGAGGCAGAGGGGGCGCTGCGTTCTGCCCTCCGTGCGCGACCCCTGCCCCGAGGGGCCGCTGCGCCGCCGCCCCGAGCCCCCTCTTCAGGGCCGGGCGTCATCGGAGCGCGGCGCGCCCTCCCCCGGATGGCCGCAGATGGCCGCCCAGAGGCCAGGTTTTCCTCTGGCCCGAGCCGTGGCCGGTGGCGCCGCGCGGGGCCTGGAGGCGCCGGCCTGTGATTGGCCGAGGCCGCCGTGAATGCAGGACATTGTCTGGTCGCGGCCGTCTCTGTCCCTGCCCGCCACCCTCGCACGGATCAAAATGGGTGCGGAGCGAGGGCCCGGGCCCGCCCGCTCCCCCGGCCCGGGGGTCTTGTCCACGGTGGGCACACCGCGGTGGGAGAGCGTAACTTTTACAGATCACGGATGCTGAGAAGGGCATAAAGGTGCAGTTTCAAAATACGAAATCATTCTCAACGAGGAAATGAAATCATTGTGTTTGACTTAAAGGTTTCCTCTGAGATGAGAAATATTTTAAAGTAATTGAAAAAGGCCAACTGTTATAAACACGGCTTACCTTTTGTCTTCAAGATTTCTTTAATTAGGATCTATGATTGTTCGTTTGAATATCCTTTATGAAATTTTAAGTAAAATAACGTCCTAGACAGTCCAGCCCCTCTGGTCTTAGTTTCCACGTGTGTAAAAGGAGGACGCTGGACTGGAGAGCTGTCCAAGTTTGCTTCCATTGTTAAATTCACTCTGATTCTGATTCTAGACTTCAAATCCTGATATATCCTATATCGGATCGTATCTCAAGGCCCTGGAATAGATGAGACTTTTTAAAGAGCCCTTGAGGAGATTATAGATCTCCTCAGATTGTCTTTGCAAATATGTGGGAGTTGAGTAGAGTTGTGATCTTGTAGTGTATAATTTTGGAGTAAAGGAAAATGAGAGCAGTAGAGAAATCTAAGATCAATCAGTAATTAGTCAATGTGGAGAGGAGGGTTTTCTTTCATCCTAAAGAAGTTTTCCAGGTAGTGGAATATTATAATAAAGAATAGCCATCTTTCCTATTTTGTTCCCAGTATCAAAGGGGTAGGAAGATGGCAAAGGAGAGAAGACGCGTATGAAATAAGAGATATACAAATGCAAATATTGGGAGCGTTTTGAATAAAATAAAGTTGGCATTTGCTTTTTAAAAAATTGGGTAGGAGAAAGTATTGTGGAGTTAAAAGCAGACTTGTGTTGCTATAGATAATATTTTGTGGCTTCAGTTTCATGCCCTCTTCAAAATTAAAAAAAAAAAATCAGTGATTTCATTTAATTGAGCAATCAACAAGAATTAGAGACTTGGAAATGACAAATAAATGAAGGAAGGAAAGCATCCAGAAAAGAAGATAAATTTAATGGACATGATTCATTGCAAGAGACATGACCTCACTCCTTATTAGAGGGATTTCCACTAAACCAGATTTGATGTTAAATAAATTTATCTTACAGACTTTCCTCAAAATTATACTAATTTGATATGTCCTTTTGGTAGGGGGGTATGAAAAAGGGAAGGGATACAAGGAAAATTTTAAAACATTGTTGCAGCTTCCTCAAATGACGGTGGTTCCAGGCTCCTCGTCTTCGCCCAGCATAATATAGGAGTAAAAAGCAGAAGTCATCAGCAGACAGGTTCCAGCTGTCTCTGGAAGGGAAACGTGCATAGTTGTGTGGATGTCTGTGAGTGAAGCAAATTTAGTTTTGATTATTTAAACTTTTAGCGTTTAAATTGTTGATTTTTACCGTTCAACGGATTTTACTTAAAAGTTATTGAATAAATGATTAAAACTTAGAGATTAAGCTGAGGGAACTAAAAGTGTTATTGATAGTAAATATGAGCAGCAGGTGATCTAATATAGTCTATAAGGTAGGAAATGTCTTGCCAGAGAAGTTTGAGACTTTTCCAGCAAGTCTTTTCCTTAGGATTTTTGCGTTGGTATTCAGTATACTATAACTATAGATTAATCTATACAGAGTAATGGAACTGTATTAATAAATTGCTGTGTATTAATCTGTATAGAGTTATGGAACTCTCGGTATATGCCAAATATCATTCTCAGTATCTTCTAGAGTCACAAGTATCCGAGGGAGCAGGCACAATTTTCATCCCCATTTTAAAGTCAGATGCTGAAGCTCTAAAGGTTAGGTAGCTTGCTCAAGGTCAGGCAGTTGATGGGTGTAGAGCTGGGAATCAGGCCTTTAATTCTGTCTGACTCTGTTCAAAGCCATGTTTCTGTGTTTTTTGTTTTCTTTTTAAGATTTTATTTTTTTCCTTTTTCTCCCCAAAGCCCCCCGGTACATAGTTGCACATTCATCGTTGTGGGTTCCTCCAGCTGTGGCATGTGGGACGCTGCCTCAGCGTGGCCTGACGAGCAGTGGCCATGTCCACACCCAGGATTCGAACCAACGAAACACTGGGCCGCCTGCAGTGGAGCGTGCGAACTTAACCACTCGGCCACGGGGCCAGCCCTGTGTCTGGGTTCTTGATCACTCACTAAGCAGACTTACTTATTTCTATGGATGTGATTATTAATCCATTTTTGATCGGATCTTTTCGACAGTTGCAAATTTACATATTTTTGCATTCGCCCTTTCATTCATTTCCATTTCAGGTGGCCATGTGGATATGAGGTTGCTGTCTGTGTTTATTTTGCTACAGAAAGTCAAGCGTGCCTATAATTTTTTAACAGAAACACTCCCTTAAATTTACATCTTCTGTTCTCTTTTAAACAGACACGCACACGGACAGAGCGCTGCGTGGGTCCTCTGGCCCTCCGCTCTTCCGTCTTTTCTCTTTCCCTCTTTGTCTTCTTTCAGACACATCGCTGCATAGGACTTTTATAATACCTGCTGGCCGTGTTTTCTACATCTATTCAGTGTCAGTCCCAGAAGAGGTGCTGGCGTACTCAGTCATTCAGTTATTGGCTGAAGGCTTACAAGACCCGGTCCATCAGAAGATCGAGAAGGGAGGAGGGACCAAGAATGCAAGACAGGAATTTTGGGGATTCAGTAGCATAAAGCTGAGACAAAGGACTGTGCCCTTCACACATTTTTTTTGCTTTTCTTCTTCAGTCTGTACCTTCGGCTGAGAAGCGGCGTACCCTTAATGACGATCAAGGGTAAAGGTTGCTGCCCTCATATTGACCTTGGTCCCTTTAGCCATTGTTTCTGTAGTTGGTGGCCCTTATCATGCTCATCTGTAGTTCTGCCAGAGAGGGGCAAGAGGGCAGTCAGTCTCAAATCCATCCCTGTCACTGCTGGTTCGCAGTGCCAGAATCAGGAGGGTTAAGAAATTAGAAATAAAATTATTCTGAAGAGGATCATTTGTGACTCATTAATCCATGTGATTTCTGATGCTCATTATCACTGAAAATTGAGTTGGCTAAGTCTGTTTAACTTTTGTGATTAAGGATCAGCGTTAGGATTTGATGTTCTGGGGGCTGAGAGAAATAAAAGGATTGTGTTCGGCCATCCTCCCACTCCCACCCACACCCGCCGCTAGCACTGAGTGCTCTGTCCTTGGCCAACAAGTGGTTCTCCATCGCGTGAAACACTGGCAGGGAAGCCCCCAGAGCAGCGTGGAGGACAGGACAGCATCTGGCAAGCCTGACTCAGTCCCACTGCCATCAGTGGGTGACAGCCCTGGCTGCGCGGTGTCTCAACACCCGAGGGGCCCAGAGAGGCAGGCCCGACTAAAGAGAACTACATGGCCTCTTGTTAACCAGTGGTTGTCTTTTTATTTTGTTTTACCAAGTTCCATAATAGAGCTTTTACCATCTAATATTTCTCAAATCCAAATATTAAAAGATTTTACAAATGTGTAAAAATACTTTAATGATAAGCACCTACTCTTGTTTATCTTTGTACTCAAAAGGTGGCCACCTCTTCTCCTTGGCTCCAGCAGGCCACCAGATTCTGGTAATGCCATCTTCCCTCTAATCCTCAGCCCCGCAGTGGTGGTGGCTTCCCACGCTGGCTGGTCCTCGGATGCCTTATTTTGTTGATTCCTTTCACTTTGCCTACGCTTCTTAAAAGTCTTTTTGAAAAGCCCAGGTGAATGTGCCTCTCCTTTCCTCCTCTGTGGCACCTGCCTCAGACACCCATCCTGATCTGGCTCCCACCCACACCTCCAGGTCAGGCTGTGGCCTTTCCATTCTGCCTCCTTGTTCTCTCATGCAGCAGACTCCTCCCTTCCGCCTCATACACTTTGACCCTTGAGGATGCTGTCCTTTCTGTCAAGAAGACTGCATGAAGACTTCCCCGGGCTCCTTCCACATGGGCTGCCTCGTTTATTGCATTTACCACATTGTATTTGAATTGCTGCTTTGCTTTCTCAAACCAGAAGTTCCTTGAGGTCAAAGGTCATGTCTTATTCGGCTGTACGTCTTGGTGCTTAGCACAGTGCCTCACACATGGGAAAACATCACGAAATAATAGCTAAATAATAATTGAAAATAAGTTTTATTTCCTCTATTGATTCTTTTTCTAGATCAACTTTCTAGATTTTGTTTGTTTGTTTGTTTTGGTGAGGAAGATTGACCCTGAGCCAACACCTGTTGCCAACTTCCTCTTTTTTTTTTTTTCTTCTCCCCAAAGCCCCAGTACATAGTTGCACATTCTAGTTGTAAGTCATTCTAGTTCTTCTATTTGGGGCACCAACACAGCATGGTTTGATCAGTGGTGCTAGGTCTGTGCCCAGGACTTGAACCAGTGAACCTCAGGCCCCTGAAGAAGAGCGTGTGAATTTAATCCCTCAGCCCCCGGCTGACCCCCAACTTTCTAGTTTTTCAAAATTTAATCAGTTCCAAATTGAAGTTTCATTTATCCCCATCTTGTCAGTATTTACACAGATAAAATTATATCATTTAATTAATATTTACATGATAGCATGCTTTTACCACACTGTATACAACAGATATGCTCTCAAAAATTGAGTAATATTTCTAATTCAAGTGCTTAAAATTTGAGGTAATTTGATGTCTTTTGATGTCTTTATTTGTGGTGAAGCTTTTTTTTTTTGTATAGCAAATAGTCATTCTTTAGGTTATTTCGGAAATACTACTTTTCTTTCATCAGATTTGTCTTAAGGAAAGTAATTCTATGTTGTACTCTACTATATTATAAGTAGATTTAACCAAGAAGTATCATTTTACTGTCTTTTGCCTGTAAATATAAAAATAAAGACAACGATGTAACAGTTGTCTTTTTGTTCAAGGCGACTCCGCCGTCCGTGTCTTCACCGGTCAGAGAAGGGAGAACAGGCTTCTCCGGGCCCTCCCTTGTGTTTCTCGAGCTCTAGCAGAGACGTTTTCTGTAATTGGTTTTCCACATTTGCCAAGAGTCTGTTTCCTCTTACCATTCAACATGTTTAACAGAAGTCTTGTACTAGTTCCAAAAATAATAAAACCAGTCCCAAGCATAAAAGTGATACATACACAACACATTGCTTTCTTGTTGTGGCTTTGGTTTCATTAAGTTCTTTTTCATAATTTTTAGTGTCAAATCATGTGGTAGAAATAAAAAGGTTTTCTTCACAGTAATAAAACCCACTGAAGAAATGCAATCGATGGCTTGCACAGCGAGCCTTATCTGCACAGAGGCCGTCCCAGGACAGTGTGGCCATCTCCGCGGCCAGCACTCCTCACTAGTGATGTAAGTGGGAGGTTATGGTTGAATTTAATGCTGTGTCCTCAGAGGGAACAAAAGCTTATTCGAGGTACATGCTTCTCATGTATCGGCAAGGCTGTTCTTGATCTGAGGAAATCCATTTCTCACATTGTCAAAGGTTAACATAAAAAAGCAACGTTAGCTTATGTTTTATCCTACCCCACCATCACTCCTAAGAAGGCGGTAAAGGGTCCCAACAATAAATTTCTCTGCTTTAATAATTAGATGTTTGACAAGTGAAAAAAAATTCAGACTTCCCTTTAAATTATTACTTAATTTAAATATTATGATTGTTCTTATTAAAGTTTCCCTAAATGTTGAGAGCACCCGGACTTAGGAAGAGCTTTAAAATCCCAGAGAGAAGTCAGAGGCACTGAGAAGCAGGTGACTGTGGAGCTGATGACAAAAGTTCCATGATTTCACGCAAGGCATTTTAACTGTTTCTTCATCAGGAAACTGGAAACCAGAAGATAAGACCTTGGCAGTAAAAAATAAATACCCTGGAGAAGGGCTGTAATCCCTGCGTCACTGGGAAAGCGACCATCCCAGAGCTGGCCAGGGTCTAGGCCCTGTTTCACACCCCAGGCTTGGAAAGCCAGTTTCCTCCTTTCGCCGAATCCGGACCTCGTTCTCTTCTAAAAGAGCCCCCTGTTTCCGCAGGACCTGGATGGGCTGTGAACCAATAGCCTCACTGCTCCTAGTGTGTCTGAGGTCCAGCAGCAGCCAGGTGTCCAAAGGCCGTATTGGAAATGCAGATGCTCAGGCTGTACCTGGACCTCTGGAATCTGATCTGCATCTTAACAAGGTCCTCAGGCACTGTGGGCTCACATGGCATGAGAAGCCTGGCTTAGAACGTCCAGATTAAGATGCAGCAGGAGCGCCCACAGCAGCTGAATTGGGAACCGCCTTGTGTATTGTGTATATCATTTTAGCATAAGTTTCCAGGGAGTGGAAGATTTTGGGGGGGGGGGGGGAATCAAAAAGGAGTATTACCTCACAGAGCTGAGTCAATACATGTAGTTCAAATAATATCACCTTCAAGGTAAAAACAAAACACAATAAAACGAAAAACTATAGTGGGGGTGATTGTCCTTCAGTGAAGTCTTGTATTTTCTGTCTATATAGTTTTCTAAGGGCCGTCCTAACAAAGTACCACAGACTGGGGACAGCAGAAGTTCATTCTCTCGTTCTGCAGCCTCCACATCTGAAATCCAGGTGTCGGCAGGGCCACACTCCCTCTGAGACCCCGGAGAGAACTCTTTCCTGCCCCTTCCTAGCTCTGTGGGTCCTGCATCCGCAGCTGCAGCGCTCCAGTCTCTGCCGTGGCAGCACATGGCACTCTCCCTGGGTGTCTGCCTCTTCACATGGTGTTTTCTTCCTCTTGTGAAGAAACCAGTCATATCAGATGAAGTCCCCTCTCCCCCCAACTCCAGTATGACCTCACATGCAACGATGTTATCTCCAAATAAGGTCGCATTCTGCTAGACCTGGGGATCCTAAGATGAGGAAGACGTGGCCTCTGGAGGGGATCCAAGTCAGGGGGAGGGTGTAGCAGCAGGAGGGGCTTTCAGGGTGTCTTTCCAAGCAGACTCTGGGCCACCTCCCACTCCCATTGATTCCATGGCCCTGGAACCTGTGTTTGTAACAAGCCCCAAGGGATTCT